CACCTTCAAATCCTGAAGATATACCTTGCTGAAATAAAAAGTTTTATTAATTCATTCAGGTTTTCTGAAGAATAAAATATGAAACTGGACCAATTCCTTATAAAGTTTCAAGAGTTTGAAAATTTGAGGGCAATAGAATTACCAGCAGGGGGAAAAATTAAAATTAAAATCAAAATTAAGAAAACCTACATGCCGGTGTATCAACCTAGCCACTGATAGTTTCTTGAAATAAAATCAGTTTAATAATCTACATGTCTTAAGTTATGAATCAAATATTGCAAAAAGTTACTCAGAATTTGGTGAGAAAATCCAAATTATTTAATATTTTAAAGGATTTCAATTCTATTGCTTTCCAGTACATTTATTCATCTATTCCTCAAAATTCAGAAGACCTCCTTCACATAGCCAAATTTCATGGAGTCTAAATTAATGGTTCTTCTATATATTTCTCAAAAATATATATTTTTTAAGAATGTAGTTTTCATTTATTTAAAAATACTTGCCTCCAAGGAAAACCCAAATTAACTGTGGCCCAGGACATCTAGAAATTCTTTTAAAAAACAGAAAAGGAAAAAATGTTAATCACTTTCCTTGGGAACTCACTTGAATGCCTAGCAGCACATTCATCTGTAATATTCTCTAAGTTACAGTTTCACTATTACTTAAATATGTTCAATAAGCTTTTAAATGATTTTTGGAAGAACAGTACAATTGGTGATATTGAAGGGGTTGATCTCCATGCCTTTAAACTTGACCTTTCAAAGGACAAATCTAGAAAACCTTGTTATAGCAGAAGGCCACAAGTTCTGTTTCTCCTGATTTCTAGATAATTGACTTCCTACCAAAGTTATGATAATCTAGAAAAGTTTCTTACTCTTTTCCCCCTTATCTGTTTTTCGTCAGAGTGTTAGTTGAATGGCCACTTTATCCGGGGAGCCAAGAAGAATTTGTGTTTTTGGAGCTGGATCATGGCCAGGATTAACCTACCTGTGTAGTGAAAAGAACTACCAGGCTAAGTCCAGTTCAGAGCAGAAGAAAGACCATGCTTCAAACCGAGGAAATTGGAATAAGTAATGAAACTCTAGCACCGTTTTAGAACCATGTTTCCTGGGTGGACCAAGCAGACATTCTGTATTGGGAAATAATGCAAAGTTGCAACTGCAGGTGGATTAAGCATCACTGGTCTTTGCCTGGGTGTGCTTCGGATCAAACATAAGGATCAAATAAGGACTGGGTGAGTGCTCTGACATTTTACAGGTCTTTTGTTTGGCTAGAACTAGGAATGGTTTTGGTGAAGTAATGAAATACCACTCTTACCTCCCCTGTGCCCTCTTTCACTCCCAATATAAAGGAAGTGATTATGAAGTCTATAGTTCGTGGCTAACGGCACAAAAGGCAATTCCATAGGTCAATTATTTTTTGCTTCAACCAATGGTTTCCCCCAAAAACGAAGAGTAGCAAATCACAGCAGCTAATTGCTGTTACACTCAAGAAGATTTCATTGTAAAATGCAACATTGTTGTTACAGTCATGTGAGTTGGCCACAACTATTAGGTAATAGATCCTAAAGAACTGGTAGGGAAGAAAACAAATTAGGATGACCCCTATAAAAAATAGGTTTTTCAGTTGAGCCCAGAACTCCTGGTGGGACAGCAAGGAGTGGCGTAGCCTCCGTGCCATGGACAGAATGATGAAGCTCTGAAAGACCAAGAGAATCACCGCGATGGCTATGACCGCAGCGACTACCATATAGTTGATGACCTGCACGTACACACGAGCAAGTTCTTTGTGAAACACAAAACAGTGCTGCTCGCTGTAATTCCCATGAGTTCCGTAATGAGAAGCAACCAGGGGCACCATAATGACAATCACCAGCAGCCACAAGCCGGTGCTGGCAGCCACAGCATGCAGTTTTCTGTAGAATTCCACTTTGTCCTTCTGCTTGAAGAAGACGAGGTACCTGGTGACCAGGATCACCACATAGAAGAGGAATGTGAGGTACATGTGTATATGCAGCATGGCACTCACAAATTTGCAGAACGGCAGCCCGAACGTCCACGTCCCCTTGATAAGGTAAGTCAAGCGGAAAGGCACCGTCAGCAGAAAAACGCTGTGGACCACGACCAAGTTCACAACTGCTGTGGTGGTCACAGACCGGGTGTTCATTTTCACCAGCAGGAACAAAATGCAGATGACACCCACCAGTCCTCCAATGAGCACTACGAAGTACAGCCTGGTTAAGTGGGGTGTCAGGATAGGACTGCAAGAGAAATTCCTGGAGGCATTGTGCACAGCCATACTGCAGAAGTCACCTGGAGGAGACAAAGCACCAGTGTAACCAATAACCCCCCACAGCTCTGGTCACAGCTCCTTCTTAGCACTGGCAATGTGGCTTCATGACGTACTTGTTTACATGGTGTGAAATTAATGTGCTTTAAGAGTGAAGAGTGTGTCATATGCATGTTTGTATACCTTAGACCCCAAACACAAAAATCATTGATTCTTTTT